CCCCCCCCCCCCCCCCGCCCTCTCGGCGACATTGCAGTATCGACGTATGTACGTTCGGCGAGCCCTACCGCCGCGCCGATGGTAGCCCCATCTGAAGGACGAGCCATGTGAGGGGCAATTTTTGACGATGGCTGGTCGGCCGTTCCCACCGTTTTACATGAGCACGGCGCCGTCTCTAGGCTGGGAGCTTGTTAGCGGGACTTCGCAGGGGGGTGGGTGGATTGCGAGCCGTGCGGTAGTATGTAGCGTCGGCAGTAACCGTCGTTCGCTTGGGCGTTGCCTTGGTCGTGGGCATCCTAAACGGCTGCAGGGGTTTGAGGGCAAAGACGGACGCGTGTTGTTTCTAGGCTGCGTTGAGGGCGTTGCGTCCCTTCTTGTCCTCGGGGCAATAGCCATCAGTCAGCACGGAATGGGTTATGGGCTGTCGCGGGATAACACGATCAGCCCTCGGCGAGGGGGAGGTGCACTCGGTGGGAGACAATCGATGTGAATAGGGATGGTATCGATTATCGGTTTGCGGAGGGTGGGGTGGTGGAACGCTTGTGTGTTGGGGAGGTCGGGATCTCTGCGGAAACGGAAAGGAATAGCCGATTTGATCGGTGTCGGGAAGGTAGATATGTAAATATGGGACGTGTCACACAATTTGCACTACACGCGCGCAGAATATATAAAGGAGGGACTATACCGTTCATCGGCTTCACACAAGGACACCGATTGATGCCGCCCCGTGTTGTCGAAGACTTGCCGGTCTCTGCCGGGGAGCTCTTCCTGTAGTATTGGTGCCACGGCTATCTTATTGGTTGGTTGGTTGTCGCAGCAGATCGAATTACGTCTAGAGGGCGTCGCCTATTTTTCACCGTCGGGGCACTTCCCGCTCGTGAAATCAGTGATGAGTTTTTTTCGAGAAAGCCCACGACCTGCCAACGCTTTGGTGCGGTGGGATGCACCTGTGTGGCTTAGTCCTCCATGGTCGCTGGGGACGAAGGTTAGCGGAGATTTTCGCCGCGCGCACGTCTACTATGTAGTTGGCATGTATCACACTCGCTCCAATTTAGGTGAGGCGGTCGATTATCCGTTTGTGTGTTGGGGCGATCGATTGTTTGTGTGCGTTGCCTTGACGGCGTTTGCGCTCGGGTGAATAGAGTTCCGAGGGTCTGTGTGTGATTGTCATGCGGGGTGTGTTGGCTGAGTATTTGGGGTGGTGTACACCGTGGCAGCGTTGTAGGGAGTAACCAAGGCTGGATGCTGCCACACGACAAAAGTCGCCTGCTTTTGGATTGACCATGAACCGCTTGTTGGAGGCCTGGACTACATCACTACCATACGAGTCCACCAGCCCGACCGGTATATTATAGCTCTACACCATGGAAACGACATGGCACGTCATCTTGGCGGCCGGCGATATGCACGACACGAAAGTGCGGAACATCTTTAATGATGTGTGCTAAGGCGTGCCACCCTGCAGCGGTACTAGTGGTCGGCGTATGTAATTGAGCCTCCGGATAACCCAGATGGTGGGTAGTTTTCTAGCTGAGAGGAGGAGCTAGTAGTCAAAACGGTGATGTTCAGCTAGTTCTTCACCTCGCCGCGAACAGCAGTCACAGGTAAGAGGTCCTTCAGTATTCCTTGGGATCTATCCGGGACCCCACAAGGTCGTTGCCGCGTCAAAATGGCACCGACACCAGACAACACCGCCCGATAACTGTCCCTGTGTCCGAGTACCAAACGGTAGTGTAACCCTTGTTTGCTGGAGGAGGAGTGAACCTCACACTAGTCAACATTTTTTGTTTTTTTGTTGCCGGCTGGGATGCTCATGCGATATCGCCAGGTAAAAACGTCATCCCACACACCTGAGTACCCCCCGCCCCCCGGACAGCCGAATATTCGTCTGTTGCTCACCTAGTTGGGGGCGCTTTTGTAGCACACTTCACGCAAGCCGCTTGTGGGGGATATATCGTGTGCTAGGGTGAGGTTTCGCGCATACCTTGAGCGGGTCAGGTACTCTCTGAATGTTCTTTAATACGCAGCCAATTCGCGTGATCATGGCTTGGCGGTTTGCAATAGCTAACCCTAGCTCACGCATCGGACACCGGGAAAATAACAGGGTTCCCCCGCGGGGCCCCTTTCGTTTGCATAGGAATTAGACAACCGATATCCCCCACGCCCCCGAAAACAAACCAAACAAGACAAAGGGTATAATGATGTGCAACGAAAAATATCTAGTGGCCCCTTGGTGGGTGTGGTTTTCGTTTTTTGTGAGGCTGTTCAACATAAGTAAGCCATGTGCCGGCAGTTGGTCACTAATTACTACAGGGAATTCCTCGGTGGTAAGTGTGTCCACATTGGGAACCCTCCCGATCTCTGCTCAGAACAAGTATATCTACCACCAAAGAACATGCGTACTGCTCCACCCGGCGCGGACGCCTTTTCCCCGTGTGGTCATAGGCCAACTCAAGTTAGAACGCGATAGCTTGGAAATCAAGAAAAAAAAAAATCAAACCAAGGACGGACGTACCCAGAAAAAGCAACGCAACGAACGGCGACAACGAACAATGAAGGAAGGAAGGAAGTCCCCAGACAGCCATTCTCCCCGGTGACAAGTCGGACAAAACAACACAGATGGACGACCGCGATCGACACACAAGAGACGCCCACCGCTCCCGCTCCACACATGCGAGGCAAAGCAACATATGAAAGATATACCCACCAAAGAGATCACCCATCAACACGACCACACACAACCATAACCACATAGTTCTATCCTTAGAACCCTACATCTTGCTACCCTACGATTTTCAAAAGGCCGGGGTGCACACTTCCTTGAAATTTCCATTCCAACACAAGACAGCAGGCAGGCAAGACATCACACCTACCCCGCCGGAGTAGTCCATGTCAGGTTCTCGCTGCATGCCGGAACTCGTGTTGAAGGCCCCACAATGACAAAGATTTCCGAACAGCCATCAGAAAATCGCAGCAGCTGACATGCCGGACAAAGGAGACCGTCAGAAGAAAAGAAAAGGGGGTCGACAAACAGAACCCACCGCTCCCACTCGCCCAGAAAAAAACACACACATGAGAAAAAGTAGTCGAAGGCATGCCTACCACCGACCACACCGGCGAGATGTTTTTCCATGCCAGGATGGATCCCGCCGGTCAGGCGCTTGCCCCCGCCGCCCCACATGGCAAGGGTACGCAATGTATTTACAAGGTTACCCGTCTAAAAATTATTTGTGTGGGGTTCCGTTCGTCCTGAAGTCAAACACAGGAAGGAAGCGAAGCAAAATACTGGTATGTTTTCGAGTTTGTTTGTGTTCGTTCACGCAACAAAAGAAGTAGCGCTCGCTGCCGGACAACTACAACATTCAACGCCCCCGCCGAATAGCTCACGGTGCTAGGCGCTTGGTGATGTGAGGGCTTGGTCCGGTGATAACCCGGCGTGCCCCGTCCCGGCTTTGAAGGGGTGCGAGGTCAATGGTCTGACGACTACAGCATGCATGACTATGAGTACAACCCGCCCCCCCCTTGTGAGCGGTCCCCGGGAATACCATGGTCAAGCTCGCCATCAACCTACCGCACAAATTACAGAATTGTGCCTCCTAAACTTATCGGCGAAACAAAAAACGTTTGCTACGGCCAAACAACTACCGCCCTGGTGAGCTGTTCCGGGAATGCTACACAGCTCACCAAACAAACGCCATGCATAAATATCCGAACTCGAGACACGCAACAGACGAAAACCATGCAAGAAAGGAAGACACACGCACACATTCTAGTACCACAACAGCAGTGAATGTTGCGATTCGATAGGCAGGAGCTATGCTAGCGCCCCTTCCCCACGATAGGCCGATAACAGATCTCCGTTTTTTTTAGTCCGAACATGCACGAAACGAGAATCGACAGACGACAGACCACCATCCATCGAATCCACAAAGTGAAACCCTCAATGGCCGCACCGTCATCACAAACCGACCTCCGCATCTCCGAAAGGTTACATGGCGAGATGCCCGCGGTAGCAGACATGATCGCCCTTCTCTGTAAGGTGCATTCATTCTAGACTCCTAACTCTTTTGACTACACCTTTTCTGGACGCGCACCTATCTAAATCAGCCGAGGTTCCAGGAGTGAGGCAAAACAAGGACATTTTTTGATGCCGACATCTGCGGCCGCTCTTGACTTCAAGTCGTGCCATCGTCATTACACCATAGCACCTCTTAACGGAATCCTTCCAGCCCAGAACACGACCTAACGGAATCCCGTTTCCAGCCCAGTGCACCACTTAACGGAATCCCGTTTCCATCCCAGCAGCCCTGACCAACACGAAAAGGTTACCCAGGCTACCTCTGGTGACCCTTACTTCGTCGTCCACGTAGGTGATGTCGATGGCGCTCTTTGCCCTCTCAGGGGCCTTGATCTTAAGGGGGCCAACGGTAAACTCCTTGAACTGGACATCAGTCGCGCTTGAGGTCGTCGGTGTGAGCTCCGCGCTCACCTGGCGTTGGACGAGCGGGGGCGGGTGTCAGTTGGTCTGTTCGATACGTGCGCACGTACCAGCATGACTGATGATGTCATGATATTTACCTTTCTTGAGCTAGCTCATTGCTAACTTGGCCTGGACTCTCGTCGGTGGTTAGCGATGTACTCGCTGTCTAGTGCTTGTGAAAAAAGTAAACAACAAAAATGGGAAAATGTGGGATGTGGGCGCTGATTGCTACAACACCAGGTGGTGCAGCCGGGCGCGCTGGTTAGATCAGGTGGAGGTGGTCATCGCCTGAGCTGGATGGATTACTTTATGGTTCAGGCCCGACCAAGGGCCTGTGACAAGGAAGCTGGGTCAGGACGTCAGGACAACTGCAACCGACTTCACCTGATTGACCTGACCTGCCTACCTTCCCGGTGGAGAGCATTGAACTACATACGATTTGTGCGAAACAGCTACTGTCCAATTTCTGCCCGTGCTTTGGGTGTCAGTATCTCCAACCACCCCCCCCACCCCCACCCCTCTCTGCTCCCGTCACCTGGTAGGGCATCTTCAAGAAGGGGATAGGCTGGATATACTGCGCGTTGAGCGCCCGGAGCCCCGGCGCGTCGATATCCTGGATAAGGACGAGCAGGGTGAAAAAATGGCAAAAAGGCTGAGGGTAAGGGGGGCGAGGCGGTTCTCTTGGAGTCGTTTCATTCGAACGTTTCAAACGAAATATATCGATAGACAATAATGAAATCGATTCCAAACCCTTCACCAAGAGGCAGGCGTACAGTATTTGTGGGGGGTTGGTTTTTATTTTTTCTTTCAAAAACACTAGAGAACGATGTCACCACGGATAAGAGTCGAATGCCCGAAACATTTCGGAAAAATTTGACCCCTTCATGGCGTACATCTAACTCGTTTTCTTTTGCTCCCAAGTTAATGCACGTTTCGAAGCGATGCCTGCCGGAAGAGCTGTATGCAAGACCGACTCCCTGTTGCGTTTTACTATAATCAGTAGTCTATTCCGGTCGAAACGGCCGGAACGTACGCGTTTCAAGACGTCTCCTGTTTGGAGACACTCGACCATGTACGCAAAGATTTGAACTATTTCCTAAAACTAAACTCATGCATTCATTCTTGGAACTATCAAAGTTACCAGGGTCTACGTATGCCAGGGAAGAGACAGACGCCGACCAGCAGTGTGATTAGGTCTAGCGGCGGCGGGCATTTCTACCTGATAAATTGGGCCGCTGGGCCGCAACACCGGGTTTTTTTTCGAGAGAATGCTCATCGACGTGGTGTACACCAGCTCCCACCGCCCGTTAACCAACGGAGACGAAAGAGATCTGAAACGGTTCAACCAGGGAACGGGGGGCAGACAACGTAGAAAGAATCAGAACAAGACGCGAATAAGAGCAGACGGCGGTGAAGGAGAGGGGGGAGGGCGCATAGGAAGAGGGAGACCGGCAGAAAGGCGAGGAAGGTTGTTGGCAAGAGGGTAGGAAGGGAAATTGGCACATCAGGGATGGGAGAGTGGAGAAATATCAATAGTTTCCAACATCTACGTTAGTTGCATGCGAATAGTAGTCCAGAACTCGAGAAGGGAGCGGGACAGGCTGGGGCACTCTTACGTACGCCTGTAGTAGCGACGTGACAAAACTCATGACGATCCAACAGATGAATGCCTCGAAATTCGGCTCATTCGGTTTCGCAGGTAGTAAGTAGCTGATGCGCAAAACGCCAACATGACAGTGTTAAGGAGAATCCACTTTAATATCTGCCGTTCATATTATATAAATTTAGATCTTCGACGGAGAATATGTCTACGTCGGCATGATTTTTTTGCGACTTGAACAACCTGTATAGACTAGCGCACCAAAGGCGCTCAACCCACACAATCGGAACAAGAGCACGTGACCATTCAATCGCGCACGAACATTTGCGTGTCGATGCCAACAGGGCCGATCCCAGAACACAACAAAGTAAACGATTTGCTAAGCGCGGACACGCATGAAAACAAAATGAGGAGGGTGTCGGATCGACTGCAAAAAAAACTACGTGTACCGACAACTTTGAGGGGCGCATTCCCGCTGACGACGCACAAAAGGCAGCGTTGTTGCGAACGATTCGCTGCCTCTCATCATGCACGGGTAGTGCCTACACACGGACAACGCACATCAAACAAACTGATTTTTGGGATGAACCTGCCTGAAATAGGTATATCCTTCGCATGTGACATCACGGATGGTACGGAAGACTAGGCGGGTACTGCTGCAGCTGTAACTTAGAAAGCGTCCCATTCGAACACCGACGACAACGAAACCTTTCTCACTTGGGGTTTGGGTTGAGTTTCTCCAGTTCTTGTGCCAGCTTTTCCACAACCGCCCGCTCTTCGTCGCTCGCCGTCAGTCCGCGGTTCAGCGGTGCGATAGCGTCTAAAAGTTTTTTTTTTGCCGTTGCTCGCTGAAGTATCCGTTGCACGACCAAGGGGAAGAAGATCGAACAAAGTAAGCGAAAGACAGATATATATGTTGTCTTCTCGAGGGCGAAAAGTCCGACATGAACACACGCACACACACCAACATAATTCGGAGACGGTTTACCTTCAAGCTGGCTCGTTTTCTCTGTCGGTACCGACACGTCATACCAAACGTTCGTCGACTACTGATCTATGTACCACGTTCCACCACAGCTAACAGGTTGGCAGTCCAGTGCTAGTTCTAGTGAAGATGATGACGATCGTAGTGAGGGAATATCTCGAGGGGTAGTAAATGAAGGAAGGGGAGAGGAAATAAAGGAGAATAAAGACGATGATGGAGGAGGAAAACATCGCGTGGGGGAGAGCAAAGGGTTTGAGCCAGTTGACCTTCCTTACAACAAACACCGCAGGACTGGATCGGACCTGCCAAAAAAAGTGCACATACTCTATTGACGACGAGAGTTGCGGTAGTAAATGCAGGGAAGGCGATGCAAGCAAGTCAAAACGAACGCGCATCCAAATTTGTAGCAGCCATGGCAAACACGTGCAGTTTTCTTCTGTTTCTGCCACGGGATCTGTCTTTAATCCGGAGAGTAGCGTAGACTCCCCCATGACGCTCGGTCCCACGGTCCCGCCGATACTTCTGTAGAAGCATTTCATGTTTTACACCGTACTGAGACTGGCGGCTATTCATTGTTCAGCCGGTTAGCGCGGTCGATGCAAATAACAAAGACAAACTCACTGGTCGGAACCTCGATGGACACATGTATCTGTATGCTGCATGTAAACGTGTATGTGTGCATATGTATGCATTTGCTAGGAAACGTACACCAATACCATCAGTCATACCGTGGGCGGGTCGAAAGCAAAGCCCTAATCAATCTGGAGACATGCAACCAGCGAGCCGCTGGCTCGATTGTGGTTCAGCTGGTGGGTGGAATTGTTCTTCTGGAATTGTTCTTCCCAAGAATGACCGGGCTTGCGGGGATAAGTAGTCTATGCATGTGTGGCCCCGCACACGATGATGTTATTTGACGATCGCTAGGCCACGTGGCGCATCCATGTTGTGCTCAGGCAGAGCCTGGATCGGATGGATGTCTTTTGGCTTGTGACAACCTCTCGCCCGAAATAACCTGCCCAGCCTGGCTGTCCTTCTTTCAACCAGGTATGTACATTACTCCTGATAAGATGTGAATCATATCCACAATGCTAGAGGTCAGCGCTGAAGTCAGCGCTAACTTGAGGCGTAGTGAACATGCTGTGCATCTTAGCAAAAGTACAACCGGGGTCCTTAAACTCAAACGGCACCTCAACACCCCCTTGCATGCTCTTTACCAATTAAGGGTTGGCGGGGTCGGCAAAGTAAAAAAATGAGGTGATTCTCTTCGCCCGCCCCCTCTCCCCGTTTGCGGGCCCCCCTCATCCCCTGCGTTGCCAAAGGAGGAAACAGCTGCTGCAGCTTGTCACACTCCGCCCGAATCCCGAGGTCAGAGCTCAGAACATGTACCTGTGCCAGAGACCACTGACACGCAGACATTGAAATACCACAATGGATTCGTGGGGCTCGCTTTCGAGCAGCCCCTTGATGGGGATGAAACTGTCGAAGGCCGCCAAACACTTCAAGCTTTCGTAGACGTGGCGTCGGCGATGCTGATGGGCTCGCCCGGCCCGTATGTAGATTTGCTTTGGTTTTCTTTGAGGTCAATTCTTCGGGGGAGAGATGCGGAGACCACGTACGGAAACGTGAAAAAAAAAATCAGCCTTTCATCCGGTTTTGTTTCGTTTTCTATCATGTTGCTGTCGACATGTGGAGCTGTATACGAGGGGTGATTCAAAGGGGCAATCCTCCCCGCATCCTGCACCCGCCCGAACCAACTAAATAACATGTCCATGAGACACAGCGTGCTGTGTCACACATCTTTGCAAAAACTGTATTCTACACTGAGTTATTTTTTTCATGTTAATGTTTGATGCTTTCTCAGCCCACTCCCCCCCCCCCCCC